TGGTAACATCTGAAAGTTTGGATGAATAGTGATTAATAAGCAGAAAGACAAATATCATGACTGTAAATATAATTACCTGCACAGTATGCTGAATAGCAGACAGTTGGTCTAACCAGCTCATAGACATAATAATTGCCTGGACAGGCTTTGACTTTAATGGGAAAAGACCCGAAATAGCAGCAGTAATTGTTATAGTGACCGCAGACATCTCGAGTGACGACTCCATCTTCAACTGTTGGGTGTCCACCACGAATCCACAGTGGGACAGCAGTGCCACAGCTATACTGAGCAACACATGTGTCTGGAATCTGAGCGCTCATGTTGTTAATGAAGAGACGATACCAGCCGCTCCAGGTGACATACTGGTCACAATTACTGCCTGAAGCATATATGTTAGTGGCTCTCCATGGATTGTCCAGCACAGTGTAGTTGTAGCAGGGGTCAACAGAGGTATATTCTGTAATTAAAATATTTATTTTTTAGCAGTACATTATACAGTACAAATGAACATTACTAGTTCTCATACAGTCTCCATCAGAAAGGAAGACAACATTACTAATCAGCAGAAACATGTTTATTTCCCCAGATTTAAATTCTAATACAGGTCCAAATGCACAGAAGCTCAACACGCCAATCTACAGATCTGATCATGTACAGTTAAAATACCACAGCACAATACATTACCAACTGATTCAGTGCTTTCTGATAGTGGCTTTCTGATAGTCGAGGTTGGTACTGCATGCTAATGCTCCAAAAGATAAAAAATAGCCGAATAATATTTTTTATATTTGATACAATCACACTGGCATGATAAGACGTTCAGTGCCTCACATAACCAGCTGCTAAATTCAAATCTGCATTCGCCTGGCTGGCGCTAAGCCAGAAACACACAGCGCTGCACATTATAACCAATCACACACGATTATGTTGTGACCAATCAGAGGCATTCAGATGAGTCCTCGCTGAAACTCCGGTGTTTTGTTCACTCGCTCGCTGAATGAATTCTGCTCTCTGGCGAATTCTCTCATCAGAAACAAAGTGCAGATGTGCGTACGAATGTAAGATATTCATTTCACAGTATAAACAGCTTCAGTGATTTTAATGGGAGTTTTTGAGAGTGCTTGAACTTTGCTCTCTTTCTGTACAATGAAAGTGCTATAATTAGCAGGGGTGTGGACTCAAGTGACTCGAGACTTGACTCGGACTCGAGTCCCAAATTTGATGACTTGCGACTCGACTCGACATAATTAAAGAAGACTTGAGACTCGACTTAGACTTTGACAGCAATAACTCGAGACTTGACTTGGACTTGAGCCCTGTGACTCGGAAAGACTTATGCCGAGTTCACACTGCACGATTTTCAAAGACGTCGCATCACTGTTGGTTTCACACTGAACGACTATCTGGGGTAGCATTCAGTTGTTGCTCTGTTTTTGTTTGATCAGTTACATATTTTATTTTCATGTGCATTTTATTTTATTTAAACCTCCATTAAGTTTAAAGTTAATCCATAATCGAGATTTAAAGTTATGGTGCAACAGGATTAATGTTAATCTTAAATATAACTTAAATCCAGGATCAAAATGATGGGTTAAAATGTAAACCTGCTTATTTTTAAAGGTTTAAAGTTTGGTGCAACAGAATTATTAGATAAACCTTGATTTAATCTAGATTTAAAATTAATCACTACAAACCATTTAGCTATAATTTGAAGAAGTAAAATGCACATTAGGCCTAATGTCTGAAGTGGGCAAGCAGCAATAGGCCTAATGATCATTTAAAATATAATTTGAAGAAGTGTTTCTTTCACAAAATGGGTATTGTATATATAACCATAAAGGCTACTCATCTTTTCTCCCTCTT